TTTATGTATATATATATATATGTATATATATATATATATATGTATATATATATATATATGTGTGTGTGTGTGTGTGTGTGTGTATTACTTATGTACGAGAAAAGCATACCTTCTCAGAATTATTATTTTTTCATGGTAAAAGCATTCCCAAAGTGTATGCTGATATAAATATTTTAAAGAACAATGTCGCGCTGATATAAATATTTGAAAGAACTATGTCAAGCATGTATTTTCAACTCTGAAAGGCTGTACATTATTTCTCTTCACAAAAAGTAGAAACTCCAAATTTTTCCAAAGCAAATAACAAATGAACTATCCAGCACATAACCTTGTGTGTAAAAATGGAACAGTGCATACATATGTGGCAAAGACAAGCCAAACCAGTCACTCGTCTCAAAAATCGATTATGAGTTATTAATACAGGGTCAAAGAGTAAAATAAGAGCTATAAAATGGTAAAAAAAATCATTCAAATCCGAAATTTCCTTATGAAGTTACAAGCATTTAAGCATACAGCTGTTTAAAGAACAATATATGAGAAATCAGCCTTCAAAGTTTATGATTTCAGGCATTTCTCATGCAGAAACTATCATAAAATCTTTAAAAAGTGTTGTTTTAACATTGAAATTGGGAAAAATAACAGCACAGCATGATGTATACACTAGATACATAAACCTCAGTTTAGTGAAATAAAATAGATTTAAAAAAAATTTACATTCTAGCATGTTTTTGCTATTTTCTCTGAAACACAATTTGCGACGAGTGATTGGTTTGGCTTGTCTTTGCCACATATATTGGAAAGCTTTCACTTAAGTTGCTTCAATTCGCCTAGTGGAAAATTGACTTAGGTCACACTTTCGTACCACTCTTTTCCTGGATACGTCTTACTGTATTTGAATTGAGGTCCATAAAAGTATAATTGAATTTATCTGATTTTATCCTAATAATGATAATATATTAGACCTAGAAATATCTGAACCTTCACACTGTAACCGCAGAGAACTTTCTGGTAAAAACCCATGACATGCTAAGCCCTTTACAACTATTGTCATGTTAGTTAGAAGGGGTTTTCAAACAACGACAGGGCGAGGTGAGTGGCCGAGTGGTAAAGCAGGAGCGCCGCTAACTACAGCCTTAATGTGGGTGCAGGTTCCAGCTGTGTCTTGCCCATGGTTCTGTTGGTAGAACTAAGTCTTCTTGGGTAAGGACTTGAAATGGAGGTGTACACATCTGGCTCATGTGCACTTTAAACAACTTTTCCATCAGTTCTAATTCAGTATAAAACTGTTAAATCAAAATTATGTATCATTTGTAATAAAATATTTACTAATACATCACTCATAATGATGTTTTCATAATGTACAAAATACACAGAGTTGCCAGCTAAGTACGTTTTTTTTAGTTAGTATAAATATTATTCTATTAGGATATTGAGCACAAAACCTCCATCCAATTACCCTTTGGGAGCTCTACTAAACTGACCATTGCTGGATAGTCGCATAAATTTTTCTTATTAAGGACTTTTACCACAAAGTATTGCACAATTCACCGTTGAAATTATATCACATATTAACTGATAAGAAGCTACAAACCTCCATTATTGATATATAAGGTTGATAACATTTTTTTTAGGCAAAGATTGTTTAATCTCAGCAGTCGCGTTCAAACCCTCATATTATTGTCAGAAAAAGGATATTAAGTTTCTTTTCCTCATACACTTGTACAAGTGTATGTCAGATAACAGATAACATACATCAGCAATTAAGGAAGATATCTGTACAACGCTATCTTAATATTTCTGTTTGCAATGATTGATAGATGCTAACAAAGTGACTCAGTTTTAATTGCTTGGTGGAGAAACCCTAGCCTACGGTATATCCTCTGAAGTAGTCGATGAGTCACATTAAACAATAATTAAAGGCCTTCAAAACCCTGATCAAGTGCCTAAGCTTATTTTTTCCATGCGCTGATGATTGCTCCTGACATTACTATTTATCATTAAAGTATTTTTGGAACTTGAGTCAGAGATTTTAAAGGTGATATTTCTGAAGATGGATGAGAGTGTAAAGGAGAGTATTACGTTATAGGAGACGTAAATGAACATAATATGTGGCAAAGACAAGCCCAACCAGTCACTCTTCACAAATCATGTTTCAGAGATAATGGCCAAAACATTCTGGAATGTCAGCATTTTGAAAATCTATTTCATTGCACTAAAATAACCTGTATATCTATATACATCATGCTATTAGTATAGTTTGCTATGTAATCTAACCAGATTTTTGTGCCAAAATGAATTTTATTGGCTAACTTTGTCATTTTTTGTGGTCTGAAATTAAAGAAAGTTAGGTGTCATTTTTTTTATCCACGTCATCAGCTGCCATTTTGAATTTTAAGATGGCCGACACACCACGTAAAACATGGTTATGTTTGGTGTCAATGGAAAGGGAATTATACACTGATCATTTTATTCTATTACATCTATATCTAATAATACATATTTACAAAGATATAAACCAGTAAATAAAGTCACATGACCCAAAAGGTCAAAAAATCAAACTGACCAAAATCTATCGTGTTTGGTATTGTTGGAAAGTTCTTACGATGCTGAATAATGTTTTACAATACACATATATCAGAAATGGTGTAGTTTTCCATATTGTCCCGTTAAGTCCAATTATGGCATACTTTATTAAAATATACAGGACCCAGTTGTGTAACACTTGTGAGCTCTCGGAGTTGGGGTGGGGTGGAATCCTACTACTACCTAGCACTTTACCACCGAGCCTTAACAGTAGGCATAACGCATGTTCTTTCTGGGCCAAGTTCCAGTCCAAATCGGCCCCCGAGTGGCCACGGGGCACTTCTTACTACAGTACTACCCTACAGTAACTTTTTCTATAATTTTCTAAACCCAATTAGGCCTAGTCCAAAACCCCACAAACACACTCATTGGCAGATTTATTAGAAGGAGTCTCCTTCCCCAGAATCATAGTTTCTGCCCTTCCCCTATCAAACCAAATGTTCTTGATTACCATTTGCGATATAGTTTATTATAGCCCTTTGTATAATGAAATAATTAGTGAGCCTCTAAATCATGAGGCAGAAACAGATGCTTGCAGCAAGCTGAAGGAAGAGGACGGCAGTACCAGTTGTTAGGCCAAGGGGAAAAGCATTCTTGTGTTTCCCACACACAGTGACATTTGAAAATCAAGGTCGGTCGGTCGGCATGTAACTGCCTAGGCACAATTTCAAGGTTGAAACGGCTACTGTCGCTCTTCCCCATTAATTTTTGTTGATAAATGGTAACCACAGTCCAGGTTGAGGTATAAAATGTATTATTTAAATCTCAAAAAGTGGCTTTTTGAAAGAACGGATACCAGTATCTTTCAATACCTAACCTACAAAATTACGTAATCTAGGAAGTATGATCCTTCGAACATGATTTGCAGTGATAACAATCTTCGAAATAATACCAAAGCATTCAAAATTGCCATATAAAAAAAATTAATTTACCTTTCAGGTTACTATTCAAATAAATACAATAAATGAAAATACTCTATTGCTGGTGCTGAATTTTTAACAATTAAATACAATAAATAATGAAAATACCCATTGTTACCTCTATCCATTGTTAAATGAATTACTATAAATAATATTTAAAAAACAATTATATAACTTTACCTACTATTATACATTAAATACAATAAATAATGAAAGTGCCTTTTTATTACTTACCCATATGAGATTCATAGTGATGACGAAATTACAAATGATCATTTCTAACTACCAAAACATTAAAAATTGCAGTAAAATATCCCCGAAAATTAGATACAGTAAAATGTTAATCCTTCAGTCAAGAGAATGTTTAAACCAAAAACTGACAGGAAAGCAAGGAATAATGATTGTTTTTAGCCTAGATATTCCAATCGGTTTGGCTGCTAGCAATCGGGGTGTCTGAGGCTTGCTTTAGCTCCTTGGGAGCTCTCTTCCAAAAGTTGTTATTAGTAGGTAGCGAAAACTAATTAAGATTGTTAACAGGCAATAACAACACTAAATTAAAATATTAATTTTAAATTTCCAGTTGTGCTTTGCTGCTTTTTCTTTGCATTATCATAAATGTCATATATAATATAACCAATTATTTATTATTTATTAATTACTGTTATGTGTACATTATTTTTAATTTTGCTTTTGTTTTGTGGAGTGTTCCAAGAAAAACAAAGTGTCACATTTCCTTCAATAGGTGTCATTTTCCATTTAGACAACACTGTTGTATTTTTTATTATTTTTATTTTTTTCAATCCAAAAGTAAAATACAATTAATAACAAATTCTTCACGTTTCATTCTGAAGGTGTCATCTTCCATTTAGACAACTTAATCTAAATCCACACGCAATCAATTATGGATATTATTTTTTATTCATATTATTATTTTTAATGGAAGTCTAATTTGCCTGAAGAGATGAAAACGTCTGTGGAATTTAGGTCAGCTGGAAGCTAGGTACACAGAACTGATGATGTGTAAATCCTTTTTAGCTATTTCAGACCTGAAGGTTTATGAATGTCAAGATGCTTGGGTTGTCCATTGGCTGTCTATGGTTTATATTCACCATATGTTTAAAGTAAAGGCCTTAAGTAGCAAAATGTTTAAATTCAATATTGTTGATGTTATTACTATTATTATTATTATTGTTATTATTAATATCAATATTAATAACATGTTTTTGTTATTAATATTACTTTTTGTTATTGTAGTTATTATTATTGCTATAACCATTGTTGTTATTGTTATATATTTTATTATTTCTTATAATCAGAGTTTCCCGACATTGAGCTTTTAATAATAACTATATAGTTTTTAGCAAGTTATTTTCATTTGTATTAATAGATTACAGTATTTTTGTTATTTCTATAATTTTTACAATACTTAATACCATTCTATTTAATATAAATATGCATTTTTTTTTTTTCTTTATTTTACTTGAGAAAGTATTTGTTAACCTAATATTATTATAACAGAAGAGTTGAATGGCATTTTGATGTGATGAGGAAGATGATGAAGTACCAACTTACCCTTTGACCTTTGACTGCTTTTTTTAGGAACTAAAGAGGAAGAAGGAGGAAGAGGCCGAAGTGCTCCGTAATAAGTTGACAGAGATAACAGGCAAAATAGAAGAGCTTGATATGGACATGAAGAAATTCACTGCTGGCATGCAGCAAGTATGTGAGGTTTTAGAAATGATGAAGATGAGGATGAGGAGAGTAACAGGTGATGTTGACGATGATGATGGTAACGAAGATGATGGTAATGACAGGTAATGATGAGGATGATGGTATTAAAGGTGATGATAATGACAGGTGATGATGATGATGATAATGATGAAGAAAATGATGATTAGGATGGTGATGATTATGATGTGGTGATTAGATACCAATGATTATTGTGCTGATGATTGTGATGATAATGATTATTATGCTGATAATGATTATGATACTAATGATTACAATGCTTCTAATTATAATACTGTTTATCATGAGGTAAAGATGCTTGTGATGGTGATTATGATGATAATAAATATGATGATGATAAATATGATGATGATAAATATGATGATGATAAATATGATGATGATAAATATGATGATGATAATAATAATGAGGATAATGATAATGATGATGAGGATGATAATAGGATAGGAATGAGGATGATAATGGCAACAATGATGGCAACGGCAACTATGGTGAAGCTAAGATCATTTTTATAATTTATTAGGGTGATAAGGGAGAGTGGCTGAAGCGGTTGTCACAGCGACAATGTTTAAAATGTTATAATAATGAAGAGGATAATGTTAAATATGTGGAGATGATGTTGAAGAGATAACATTAGTTATTGTACAATGTCTTGCATAGATGGAAGAGCAAGTCTCCGTCCACGAACACAAGAACACAGAGAAAGTTGATGCAGTACGAGTCAAAAAACGAACTCTTGACCTTCTACCAGACGCTGAAAACAACATTGCTAAGCTCCAGGTAAATTGAGAAGAATAATTTTAGGCGCCATTTCTATAGATGCCACCCCCAAACAGAAAGGTCTGCAGATCCCTGATGGGCCTGAGTGGGGTTGGATGTGTGTCTAGGGCTACAGACTTTTAAAAGTATTTAGATGTCTGAATAAAAAAAATTATAATGTAGTTGTCCAAAATAGAGGTCATTTTTTTATCAGTGTTTTTAATTACCCTACTGGCCCAGAGTTGCAACGTCATGATTCTGGCTGATACATATTCATCCTTTAGTAGCTGTTGTAAATAAAAACATCCTGTGTGCTTGCTGAAAACATAAGCGCTCTATTCTATGATTGACTATGTATGGTTCAGCATCTTTATGTATCCAATTCACTTTTACTTCAACCGCCCTCCCCCTTAACTTTTGTTTTAATGGAAAAGAACCTGTTTATATTTAAATTCAGTTTATATATGGAGTCTCAATATATCCCATTTTTTTTTTTAAAGGGTGTGGTAGACGCAAGTGCTAGTCGCCTCGTGAATTTGGGCAACCAGTGGGAGAAGCATCGGGCTCCACTTATTGATGAGTTCAGACAGCTTAAGGAACTGAATACGAACAGAGTGGTAAGATTATTTTGACAATAATTTGGCAAAAAAAAGTCTTTCTGTTGCCCTAGCCTGTCCAACCCAAAAGTCCAGAAAATCATGGTCAGCTTGAGGCAAAAGGGAGCCTCAATGCTACTAGCTGCTGATTGGAACATCTAGGCTAAAAGCGATCTCTTGTTTTGACGGAAATTTTATCTTTGTTTATTGGCTAACTAATGACTAATAATTTTTATTCAATTTTTGAGAATTTTTTTAATGCAATTTTAAATGTGTTTTTAGTTAGAAATGATTGTTCCGAAGGTCATCATCACTACAAATCACGTTCATAGGATTATTCATTTATGATGATAAAATGATTTGTATTTATTAACATAATAATGGGTTGAAATAATAAAGGGTATTTTCATTATTGTGTTTTCTCGTAATGTAATGGGTAGCGATAATAAAGTATATTTTCATTATTTATTTATATAATAATAAGTACATTAGGGTTAATATGGACTATTATCATTATTTATCATATTGAATTGTATAATTATTAGGGGTAATATAAGGTATTCTCATTATAGTATTTTTTTTATAGTAATGGATAGAAGTAATAAGGAGTATTTTCATTTTTTATTGTATTTATTCATATAATAATAATATGTAGTGTTAATAAATGGTATTTTCATTGTATATAATTTTTTTGTATTATAATATTTTTGCTAAAGGTAATGAGGAGTGTATTCATTATTCATTGTATGCCTTTTTACAATAATAATAATAATAACAAGTTATTTTTATTATTTATTGTATTTATTCATATAATAATATGGTAAAATATATTAGGGTTCGTAATTTTCTATATTAATTACTAAGAAATGTTACTTGGATGGTGATGTTTTAAAAAGCCACTTTTTGAGCTTTAACTAATAAATTTGATATCTTAACCTTGATTTTTAAGCTGTGGTTACCTTTTATAAAAAATTGAATCGGGAGAGTGATAGTTGCCATTGGAACCCCGCAGTGACAGATTCAAGGGAGCCCAGCCAGCCTGGGTACACTTACCACCTTCTCCCTCCCCCTCTAAATTTTTCCAAAAATAAAAATGCAGAAAAAAGAAAATTATAGTAAAATTTAAAGTCTGAGAGTGTCATTTATGGCTGTCTAGAGGTGCCATATTCATAAATTAAAGATGCCCTTCCCCCATTTCTGTGAAATTCCTTCCCTCTATTTAAAATTCCTCAATCAGCCACTGAATTTGGTTTAGGCAGTTAAGTGCCGACATACCAACCTTGATTATCAAACGTCACTGTGCATGGTTAACATAAGAATATTTGATCTGTCCAGACTATAAAATTTTATTTGACATAAACATGTGACATGCCTAAATATGGTCATGATGACATCACATCATGACCATATATAGGCACATCATGTCTATATATGGGCATACAACAGTTTTTTGTAAAAAAAAATTTGATAGTCTGGATGGAGGTTTACACATTAAATTCTCACTTTAGTTTATTAATGATTTGCATTTGATTGATAGATAAGTTCTTGGGAAAATGAAATTGAAATGTTTGGTGTCGTCAAAATTTAATCTTTAATGTTGATGGAAATGTAATAAACTATGCAATAAACCATATTTTTCAGATACTAGAAACATATCTATTTAACTTTACTTTCAGTTCTTTTTATTTTAATAATCATTTTTTCCAGTCTGAATCTCAAAAGAAACTTGAAGATATTAAGTCACTGAGAGAAAAGATGAAGGAATTGGCGGAGGAGACGCGAGGGAAGGAGGATATGTTAAAGCAGTTGGTTAGTCTTAGTAGCTTCATAAATACAGTATTCCACTAGGCAAATTTATTTCACCGTGAAAAATTTGTGTGTGCACTTCCTTCTTTTCCACTATATGAACAAAAAATTTGTGATACATTTTTCACAAACATTGTTTTCGTGTTGCCAATGACAGGTCGTCATGCCATTCGTATGCGTATATTAATCGGTTTGATTCTGCACTCTTGGGTGCAATTAAATCTTTTCCCGAGCTTTGATTGGCTGCGCATTATTTCACTTCGCAAAAAAGTAGAAACTGATCGAAAATAAAAAATTCACCGAAGCAAAAATTTGCCTAGTGGAAAACCTGCATAAATTTGGTGGGTGGGTAGGGTTCTTCATCGAATCATTGTTTCAACGGAAGGTGCTATGTCAATCTTGAATAATAATTATCATTATTATTATGTATTTGGTACCCAAGGTATTTTGTAACCACAACATTTTTTTTCAGGGATTGCCAAAAATGAGGGGATATCCATTAAAATTGCGAAAGAGAGATAAAAAAAAATATATGTTGTTTGTCTCCAAACAACCTTGATGAGAAATAAACAAAATACTTATAAAATCATAAATTTAATTCAGCTTTAAACAAAGAGGAAAGATTTGTTATGGTTTATTGAAATTTGAGCAAACTAATGCATTTTGGAAAGTAGATTTAATTCCCTTCCTCTAACTCTGGTTGGTGAGAAACTTGCCAGCAGCCAGACAGCAAAATTATGCAGTAAAAACAAAAAAAATATAGGCACTAATGATGAATACTTATAAGAGGTGAACTTTGACCTTGTCTTTTTGGCATACAGGCTGGAGAGTATGAAAGAATGGCCAAGGATGTAAACCGTTCAGCTTACACAAGACGAATCTTAGAAATTGTCAGCAATATCAAACGACAAAAGCAAGATATTGATAAAGTAAGTATTTGTTTATTTAATGATATGCCCATATATGGGTGTGGTATTACATTAACATGCCCATATATGTGCAAAGCACAAATATTTGTCAGGAAAAACATTAAACAAAACAAACATACATTAAAACAAATGTGTAATATACAAGTACCCATGTGTTTCATGTCTGAGAAAAAAAAACAGGGCAGAAAGGACAATGAACAATTATTTTTAACATGGCCTTGAATATTATTCTCATTTTGTTGTTTATATTTTACTTGCACTTGTCACTTGCATGGATAATAATAAACTCTCAGAGACCTTCAGCTTTATCAATATATTGATGCTAACCACTCGATGACATAGGCTTCAATCACTTTGTTCAAGTTAATTTTTTATTTTCTTGTTAAATTTTAAATATGTAAGTGTTAGGCTAAGTAATGAAATCCTGGTCATAGCAGACCATTTGGCTAAGCCCCCCTCTTGGTTATTGTTGTTAAGGTCCCACAAATCCAGGCCCGTAGCGTGAGGGGGGGGGGGAATTAAGGGTGGTTACGACGAACCGCCCAAAAAACTGGACAAGGTCCGCATTTATAAACGAAAAATTTATATTATTAGTAGGTATATTTACAATGTTCTCCAAAGTATTGGAGATAATGGTCCACTTTTCACTGAAACAAACCTTCCACAAATTAAGTCGCACTACGGGCCTGAACACAGACGCAAACGTGTGCATCTGTGGGACGACACGTGTGCTTGTTAGACGTGCATGTATTCCTTGCCATGTTCTGATTGGTCAGTTGTTAAGTTTGACTGGCACTTCGGAAAGGTCCATTAATAGGCTGTGTTGCACCAGTATTACACCATTTCTGATTGGATGTTATTTTCCCAATTCAATCCATACATCCAATTATAATTTTTTAATTGGTTTAAGACTGGTGTAACAATATAGCTACTGCTTAATTAATACTTAAGTTTTTGCATTGAACTTGAAAAGCTCATAAATCTTTTAACCATATGCCAACCAAATAGTTTCTTTTTATTGTATATTCCAGAAACTACATTTCAATCTCTGTTCACACTTTCACATGTTATGTGATATATAGCAGCTGTGGTTTGCCCATATATGGTGTGATATGACACCATGGTTTTGTGAACAAAGGTCAATAATAGTTCCATGTCAAGTTTAAAACATATACAGGCTAGATTGTATGACCCTTTTAATACATACTACCAGTTCTATACCTTAATATGTAACATCCTAATTTGCATAGATAATTTATTCATCTGCAGTCCATAAGACACTATATAAATACAGTTTTATTATTACTATTAATTAGTTCTAGTTAAAGCTTACCCGAAATAATTCAATCTTTTTAGCCTGGCAAAAGCTCTTAAAGAATCATTTATTTTATACCTCCTTGAAGAATCTTAATACCAAAATATGTTAATAAACTAATTTGCATAATTTATTCATTCATCTACAATTTATCTCTCCTTTTGATATTGATGCATTTCACATCTGTCCAGAACATGCAGTCACGACTAAATTATTTCAAAGGTCAAAGTGCATATATATTTGAAAACTAGCTTTTCATAAGCTGCTCATTTTGTTGGTCTTTATGTGACCTCTTCATTACTTACTTACTGTAATACTTCCTTAGATTCTTTTGGATACAAAAACTCTCCAGAAAGAGATTAATCAATATCAAGGCAAGTTGGATAGAACATTTGCTGCAACTGATGAACTTATTTTCAGGGTATGTAATTAAGATTTCAAATATTTTTTTTATGGGGAGGAGTTGCAAGTTGAGGAAAGGGTTTGCCTGAGTGTCTAACAGAAGGTCTGGAATTTTCAAGGAAAATTTCAGATGTGTAACAGATTGTTAATTGTAAAATACTTCCCTAGAGTGGCAAAGAACATACTTCTGCACATCTAAGTGGAAAAAAATCTCAGAGGTTCAAGGTTCCGGGCAACCGTAAAGGGAGAAATATTAAAAAAAACAGTTGCACGTCTGCACGTTTGGCAAACTTGGAAACCCGGGTAATCAGTAAATTGGTATTTGTAGAGAGACAGAATTTGAATATAAAAGGCCTTGCCCAAGAGCACAAGCAAGAACGCTGTGAGAATTGAATTGTAATGATCAGAGACAAAGTGCAACTGCTGCATTGAATTCTTCTCTGACGATTGATAAATTATTGAACAGCACTAAGTATTCGGGTTTGCTTTTCTTTAGGATGCCAAGAAAGATGAGGCTGTCCGTAAGGCATACAAGTACTTAGCAGCCTTGCACGAGGTAAGTTCATCAAATCGGTGTGTTGATAATGGCGAGTTGAATGGCCGAGAGTTAAGGCAGGGGCGTTGCAACGCACAGCCATAATATCGGCACTGGTTTGAACGGCACACTGACCTATAATTCTAATGTCGGAACAAGTCTTCTAAGATGAGGACTATAAACTGTATACCCAGTGTACACAATTGGCCAGTTACATCTTTCGAGACGAGTAGCGCGCTACCTCGGTGTACTGGTCCATACAGCTCCTGTTGTGGACAAATGACAGAACCTGATACCAGTTTACTGGATAGCTCAGACACAAAGAGATTCTTAGGGGAAAAGCAAGATACCGTACAATCTACTCCACACCTCAAGCACTTTAAAACTTCAGTATAAAGTTCTATATAAATTTAACTGCATTACATTATTATATATTATTTATTATTATTATTAATTGTTGTTTTCATTCCCAGTTCCACATTATCATTATATTTTAATCTTATTTTTTTAGAGCTGTGGTTTGCTTATAAAGACAGTGGAGGAGACAGGAAGTGTAGCGCGTGAGATCCGTGACCTTGAGGACCAGGTTAGAAAATCAGTTGTTTTATTAAATTTTTGTCTCGTGTATCGGATATTGGACACACTTTTTAATTTCTTTTCTATCATTTTTACAGATCGATTCCGAGAGCAAGAACAAGACAATAGCTAACCTAGAAAAAATCTCAGAGGATTATGTGCAGATGAAAAAAGAAAACCAACAGTTGGTTGCCCAACTTAAGGGCAAGTGATAAGTGATCAGGATGTACTTAGGTTAAAGGTTTATATCAGTATATTAATAATACAATGATTTTTATCTGCTCTGTGAGAAAATTTGTTAAACCAATGTGGTTATGTATTCACCCTGCCTGTCTTTCTGTCCGTTAGCAAGATATATGCAAAAACTAAGAAATGGATGATCATAAAATTTAGTGGAGTGGTACATAATATTAAGTAAGAGGTAACTAATTTTTGGAAAGAAGAGGATAAGGTGATGGAAATTCGATTTTTTCCTTGACCTTGGGTATAAAAGAAAACAATGGAATTATCCATACATGAGCTGTACAGTATATTGTTTGGTATCCAAGCACAGGGCAGAGGTAAGCACTTTATCGAGTGACTCTAGTGTGTCCCCATGAATACTAAGTATTATATAAAGAGTATTATTGATGATTTTTTATGTGATTGAAAGTAAAATTAAAATAAAAGTTAAAGTAATTCATTTATATTTTCTGTAAACATATATTATGAAGGGAACATTATGGTTTATTAAATGCCAACATTGATGAGAAGATGAAAGTTAGCATGTTGACTGCCACCTTCTCGCATGCACAACTATGATTATTTCACAAGTTGTAAGCTGTTTGTTTCATTGTGTAATATGCCGGGCGTACCAGTCAGTTTTAAAAGCAGTCGTCTGACAGTGAGGGGAGTGTATGTTATATAAGTAAAGCATTTTTTCTTATATTCCTTCCTATAAAGTTTACATTTATGGCCTTCGTGAAATTTAGTAAAGCCTGCTGGCTTGGTATGACAAAGAATTTTACCCAATACAGTACTATTAAATGAGATGAGAGAAATACTGTCATACCGTTTATTAAAGAAGGAAGGAAGCTTAACTCAATTTATCTCATGTAGGTCTAATAAAGTTTAGATATTGGTAAACCAAGATACAGATTAATATTTATTGGTAAACTTTTCAGCATGAGAAGTGATGCAAAGCCCATTTATTAAGTACAAAGAGTACAAAACATACGCTTGGGGGTTGGGGGTGGAGATTGGTTTGACAGTGTATGCATGTGTACTCTTCCATCAAAAAGAGAAAGTGATGATCTGAAAATAACTAAAATCATCATTTTATTGTATACTTTTTCAGGGGGAGGGAAGGGGGTCACAGAAAAAAGAATTTTTTATAAAGCTCTGTCCACACTATCAAATTTTATGTGGAAAAATAACTGTGATATGCCCATATTTGGGTGTAATATGACATCATCATACCCATATATGGGCATATTTGGGTGTAATATGACATCATCATACCCATATATGGGCATATTTGGGTGTAATATGACATCATACCCATATATGGGCATATTTGGGTGTAATGTGACATCATCATACCCATATATTGGCATATTTGGGTGTTCATATTTGGGTGTAATATGACATCATCATACCCATATATGGGCATATTTGGGTGTAATGTGACATCATACCCATATATTGGCATATTTGGGTGTAATATGACATCATACCCATATATGGGCATATTTGGGTGTAATATGACATCATCATACCCATATATGGGCATACTTGGGTGTAATATGACATCATCATACCCAAATATGGGCATATCACACAAATCTGTCACATCAAATTTGATTGTGTGGACAGAGCATTAGGCTCAACATTTTACATTATCTGTCTTTCAATTTGCTATTTGTGGAACAGTGGCAAGGCTCCAGGCTTCCACACAAAAGAGTCCTGGTTCAAATCAGAAGCTGGTCACTTTACACAATAGATACAAATTTATTTTTTTTCTATTTTATTTTCAATATTTGCTAATATTATTGAAATTATTATTATTACTACTATTACTGTTATTATTATATTACTATTATACTTAATAAAAATTGACTATGTTAATTAAATGTTAACATATAAACTTATTGCTGATGTTTGATGTGATGATATAGTTGTGTACGTCTTCATTTTATCTGTATTTCCAGCTCTTTAACTGAGCTATTAACAAATATGTACTGGAAGTCAATATTAATACATACCGGTATTTAATTCTCCGTAAGACATACAGAATTACAGTTTCTTTTATTAATACAGTAGTTGTTCTTGAAAGATAAAACTAGATCCCAAACATTATAACGATAGTGTGACATCACGTAGTTGTATTTTTAGAATTGATTGGAAAGTGACCGATTTTTTTAAACATTCCAGAGCTGGTGTGCAGCGAATGGAACTTTACAGACGCACCAAAAATATTAATTTACCTGTCCATAACGTGTTTTTCATTGCCAGTCGACCCTAATAGGCCTATTGTGGTTTTGAAGCACAATTTCGAGCCACACTAACCTTTGTTTTCTGACAAGTTTGCAATCAAGGCCTCAAAAACGGCAATTAATTGTTATTGCACATACCCCTGCGTCCATAAAGGAAAGTGACTCCATCCATTCTTCCACGCACCATCGGCATCCAGGTTTTAGAAGAAATTATATACTAAATTGAACAAATCGGATGTTAGTATGGAGCCCAATCCATGCCAACACCAATGATTAGCCAAGATATTTTCAAGGGCCGATTAAAGGAGATACCTCCTTGATTTTACGTCGGACGGAAAATCCATTGTTGCTGTCTAATTGTTGGAAATTAACACTCTACAGAGCCAGCGAGTAAATTGAGAAATTTGTCATTTTGACAATGCTGAGATTATGTTCTTGCTTGAAGGTCTTTCCTTCTAAACTAAACCAGGTTGAATTCGAGAACTTCATGAGTTCTCCCAACTTTCATTGGACGGTAACATTAACACTTGGATGGACAATGGACTTAATGAATTATTAATTGGTTTCATTATACAATATAACCTGGTTACAAGCCTTTTTGGTAGTTAAAAAAATCGATCGTCTTTACAACTCGCATTCGTAGGTTCGTGCTTCCATGGTAAAATTTATACATAAGTGGGTAGAAGATTATGTTATTTCCATTATTATATTATTAATGGTTTTACATTATTTTATTTGTATAATAATGGGTAGAGGTAAAAGTTGTCATTATTAATTGTTACGCCACAGATCCATATGTGTTATACGATATGTAATTATACAAATAATGGATGTTTATGAGTGCAATGGGAAGAATATTTTCGTGAGTTGAAAGATTGACTTTCTTTCAACGACGAGGCAGAGCCGAGTTGAATAGAACAGTCCATCTATCAATGAAAATACTGTATTCTCCGCATTGCAGGAATATATAACATTCATTGTTCGTTTTGTAACACATCTAAGATAGATCCTTGTCATTTGATATGTCAGGAAAAATAAATTTAGGTTTATTTTTCTTCTAAATCAGTAAAAGTTTTAACACAAACAACTTCCAATTTGGTAATCAAATACATTTCTTCAGAGTGGAACAGTCCATCTTCTTTCAACGAATGACAACATTGTATTAGGTGGAGGCGTCCAATGGTACGAAACTAATGGAAAAAAATACAGTACACGGATGAAACTAAAATAATATTTATGATATGTGACGAAATAGTCTCAATAACCAATGTCACGTGACACAAAACCCACCAAATAAATGACAAGCTGGATCTATTTATGCGTGTTAGAAATGTGTATAAGAGGCTGGGTGGCTAGCCACCCTCCCACCCATTCTAAAAAAATATCGCAAATTGCTAGGTTAGGCTTTCTTTGTCATGTATAAAGTCAGGCAGAATAATTCTTAACAATTAAACAATGAATGGAAAAGCATGCCGCCCACCGATAGAGACCGAGTATGGGACTTCGTTAAAAGGAACCTAAAGTAGGAATTACAATTGCTGGTATCACTTATTTAAAGAGAGAAAGTTCCTTTCCTGTTTGATCCGATGCATTTATGTTAGAGGCCTTTCCAAATGCATAAATTCAACTTAAACATAATATGAAGTCAAAATATATAGTTATTTATAGTAGAAATGAAAATGTTCTTTAGAAATTGATTGTGTATAGCATTTAGTATGGCTCTTTCCTTGGGTAAATCGCAGCACTACCTTTGCTCCTATGAATGGAAACAAATTTAATGTGTCACCAGTAAACGATAAAACGAGTGGGAGTAGTGTTGGCCTCATAGGTTGGAGAATTGTATAAACAAAATTACAAGCTTGAAACAGCCAAAAACAGCGAATTTCTTGTTTTATTTCCTATTCAAATTAGCGAGGGGAGGTGGCGTAAAACGGCCTAGTCCGATATAACTACACCAGATTTTTTATTTTTCCCCCCATGTAATCCACTTGGGCCTTTATTTAGAAATCATATATAGGCCTATTATAGGAAAACAAGTTCTCAATCTTGAAAGCTCCGTTGAGGACAGTATAATAGAGGCAGTAGAGT